GAGAAAAGTTATGGACTTTTTTCCTTGAAATTTTCAGATATTCTAAATCAAATTGCGAAAAAAACTATCTGTTTCTAATATCTAATTCGCTTGTTATCGAAAGAAATTGGCAACGTCTGAAGGCTCATACGGCGTTCTTCCTTGGGACGGGAACGTAGACGGTGACATTTGAGGAGGACTCAAAGACATTTGAAAAGTGACATTGCTGAGAGTTGGTTGGAAAGGATTATGTGCGGATCGGAGCGGAGCACTCTCGTCCTTTGCAATCGATGTATTTCTCAGAGGCTCGAGAAAAATGGAAGGAAGCTCGAACGAGCGGCCCTTGGAGGACGGAGAGCCGGGAGCGTGAAATTTCAAAGACGGGCAGTAGAGCCACGGGAAAGTGACCTTTTGTAATTAGTGTTATTCAAGCGTTTTGAATAATGTACTTCAAGCGCTGAGCATTTTTCCCGCTTTAATAAGTAACAACTTGCTCCGTGGAAAGGGCTTCGCGAGGAACCGCAAATCTACAAAGGCATCTTCACTCAAGATAGGTCGTTCTTTCTTAGCGTGGCAGAAAGTGACAGAGAAATGAGTTATTTACCTGTTCGGCGCTTTGCAATTTTAATGTTTAAATTGAAACTCCATCTACTCTAAATTGTCCTGCCTTCTTTCCGGTCCCTTCGACATGATTGCCGAGCGGCCCGGCCAAAAAGCCTCGCCTCGTCTCAATCTCTCGAGGGGATTTGAGTAGGTGGCAACATTGGTTTTTATTTTTCTTTATTTTACTTGATTTGTATCTGCGTGACATTCCTTCGGAGGGCGACCCGAGCCCCGGAGGGCCGGAGGGGCTCGCTTTAACTCACTGCTCCGTACTTAAAAATTAATTTTTCTCCCATACACGTTTCCCGCTGCAGCTTTAATTGTCAAAGCTTCAGATCCCTCGGAGATATTTCAGAGACCAAGTTTCGGCTACAAAAATGTAAAATTTCGATGAAGCGGAGCTTAATGCGACTGGATTGTTATTCGCCCTTGTTTATATGGTTTTTTTTCTTTTTTTTCAAAGAGAACAACTACCTTTGCATGCAAGTTTTATTAGATGTGGTTTCCAGCACAATGGAAAATAGTTCTCATATTCGGACCACGTTTAGCAGGAAAAAATCAAGCCTCATAGCCTATTGCCAAATTCAACTGGGCAATTCAATTTTTCATAAGAGAACGTTCATGCGGATTCCTTTCAAAATTTTAAGAAAGGATCCCTCGCTTTCCTTGTAGAAATGTATGCCCTGCTCGATTTTCAATTTTTTTTTTTGCATTGAATTTGTCTATGGATGCTGATCAAGTTACCATTGCACCAACTTTCTACGGGCCACCGTTATTGCTCAATCCGCGGTTTAGGTGTCAATAATTTCCAAAACAAACTGGCTGAAATCAAAATGCAGCGCGTGTCATGTCAAGTAAGGGCAATTTAGAGTGGGAAAGAGAAAGGAACTGATTTGGACGGTGAGAAGAAAAGACATGTGGAATCCGAAGTAAGACAGTCGCTCAACTGCAGCTGATCGGTTTTTCTGTTTACGTAAAACCCGACCCACCCGACCTATACTGCCGTGCTTAGGAAAAATGCTGTATGAACATTCGAGAGTTGCCAAAGTGCCCCAAATAAAACAAGTATCTTTGAGAACGATTATGCGTACTTTTTTTCAGACATTTTCAGACATTTAGACGGAATTGCGCACAAAATTGTCTGGGAAAATTGAAGAGAAAAATTCACGATATTTCAAGTAAATTAAGATTTTATTAAAGGAAATTTGGTTACGTCTGAAGGTTCATACGGCGTTCTTCCTTAGCACGGCAGTATGTAATTTCTTGAAAACTTTCCTTGATTTTTCTTCTCTGTGAGTATAGTTCTGTATAAAGTTCAAGCTGTACCTAAAGAAGAGCGGAGATTTGGATACTCGTAACGGAAATACGTAGTATCGCACTGTAGCCATCTACCGGGTGTCCATAAAGTAACTGAAAAGTGGGTATAATTTTTGAACAAAAAAAGATAGAAGGTCGCGGTTTGTGGCATTCTTCATCATATAAAAGGGGAAATTTTTCGATGGGGGGCTTTTCCTGGTGGACCCCCCTGGGGGGGCCCCAGGGGGGGCAACTTCAAAAATTCAAATGGCAACCCCCATTTTTTTAGACATGGTTATAAAGAACTTAAAAAGACAAGAAAAATGGCGCAAATAAAATTAAAATCGGTTATTTCGTTCAAAAGTTACAGCCGGTCAAAGTTTTAAATTGATCACTTTTCAAAAAATCGCCGATGAGCTCCAAATTATCGGAAAAACAAAAACAAACCAGGAATGAAAAGTTTGAAAAGTGCTTTTTAGGAATAGGAAAAGCAACTGACGTTGTCACAAGTCTGGATGGCATTGTTTCAAAATAAAATTTCGGAAAATTCAACATGGCGGCAAATTTGAGGAAACGCAAAAAATGAAAATTCCAGAAACTGTTATCTTTCAAATACCCTCTAGTTTAAGGAAATCAAAGGTTTCAACTTTTATTCCTTTATTTGGCCAAGTAAGAGCAATAATTTGCTGACTTAAAAGTTGTCAAGCGGGGCGCCTTCGATCGTTGGAGTATGCGACATCACAGGATTAAGTGTGCTGTCGAAAAAATGAAGCCGATGTGAAAAAGCGCTCCTCCTTTGGGATGCTTTGGAAATTTTTAAGGTCCTTCTCCTCAAATTTAACGAGAAAAAAGAAGAAAAGTAAAATTTAGCAAATTTTACCCACAAACTTGGCGAGCCAAAAAAACATGATTTATCCTGATGGGGTAGGGGCGGTGGACATTTTTGACATTTCTCTCTCTGAAAATTAAAAATCCAAGAATAATTTTAATTTTCTAACTCCTGGCACTCCAATTTGGCAAGGAGGATATCTGCTACGCTTCACCGTGTCACCGATCAGATAGTGCATCAGATGTTACCGAAAAGATGGGTGTCTCAAATCGTAAGGTTGAGACTGTCATTAAGATAATCTCAATTCAGATAATAATCAAGAGTAGAACGGCGTCTTCGGAATTGGAAGCGTAGCAGATATCTTCCTTGCCAAATTGGAGTGCCAGGAGTTAGAAAATTAAAATTATTCTTGGATTTTTAATTTTCAGAGAGAGAAATGTCAAAAATGTCCACCGCCCCTACCCCATCAGGATAAATCATGTTTTTTTGGCTCGCCAAGTTTGTGGGTAAAATTTGCTAAATTTTACTTTTCTTCTTTTTTCTCGTTAAATTTGAGGAGAAGGACCTTAAAAATTTCCAAAGCATCCCAAAGGAGGAGCGCTTTTTCACATCGGCTTCATTTTTTCGACAGCACACTTAATCCTGTGATGTCGCATACTCCAACGATCGAAGGCGCCCCGCTTGACAACTTTTAAGTCAGCAAATTATTGCTCTTACTTGGCCAAATAAAGGAATAAAAGTTGAAACCTTTGATTTCCTTAAACTAGAGGGTATTTGAAAGATAACAGTTTCTGGAATTTTCATTTTTTGCGTTTCCTCAAATTTGCCGCCATGTTGAATTTTCCGAAATTTTATTTTGAAACAATGCCATCCAGACTTGTGACAACGTCAGTTGCTTTTCCTATTCCTAAAAAGCACTTTTCAAACTTTTCATTCCTGGTTTGTTTTTGTTTTTCCGATAATTTGGAGCTCATCGGCGATTTTTTGAAAAGTGATCAATTTAAAACTTTGACCGGCTGTAACTTTTGAACGAAATAACCGATTTTAATTTTATTTGCGCCATTTTTCTTGTCTTTTTAAGTTCTTTATAACCATGTCTAAAAAAATGGGGGTTGCCATTTGAATTTTTGAAGTTGCCCCCCCTGAGGCCCCCCAGGGGGGTCCACCAGGAAAAGCCCCCCATCGAAAAATTTCCCCTTTTATATGATGAAGAATGCCACAAACCGCGACCTTCTATCTTTTTTTGTTCAAAAATTATACCCACTTTTCAGTTACTTTACGGACACCCGGTATGTATCCATATCTATAAAACTTCACTTCATAGCTGGTTTTTATAACTGGTTCTTTTTTCTGCTGGCTAATTGCCTTATGTTCCATTAAGAACCTACAGCCATCGATATACTCTATTTATTGTCCGTAGACATCAAGAGAATGGCACATTCATGCTCCAAGCTTTTCAAATTTTCAGACATTACAGCCGAGTAGAATCTGTTCAGACTGCACATTCACTCGTCAGTTCCATAAAAATTCGGTGCCACAACCAGAATTCGAACCCGGTACCCATTTACCTAGTCAGACGCGCTGACAACGAGGCCAACCTGGCCGATTAAATTTTTACTGGTTCTGTGAAGATGAAACTTTGGGTCCCAAAAAGTTTTAAGCATCATTTATCAAAAATGCGTTTAGTCCTGCACGGATTATCTCCGAGGAAAAATAAATCGGATTTCATGCGCGGCTGGGTTTTAGCGAGGAGTAAAATAGGAAAAAACGGAAGACGCGAAACGTGACGTGTGACGTGCGCCTATAATACTGCCGTGCTAAGGAAGAACGCCGTATGAGCCTTAAGACGTTGCCAAGTTTCCTTCGATAAAAACCGAATTTACTGGAAAAATTGTGGATATTTTTTCCCATCATTTTCAGACAACTTTGTACGTAATTTAATCTAAAATATCTGGACATTTCAAGGAAAAATATGCATGAATGTCCTCAAATATACATGCTTTATCATGGGAAATTTGGCAACTCTCGAATTTTCATACGGATTGCTTCCTTAGCACGTCAGAATACACCTCGATAGAATCACAACCCGCGGCGGTATTTAACCTCAACCATGTCAAATCTCGATTTAATTATCAAAAACGTCACTTTCCTTCTTCACACTTTTATTGCTCACAGTGTGACAGCGTTTTTCCGCTGTTTAACAGATGAATGGAATAACGATCCACGATTACCTAAACCCACAAAAAAAAGAGCAAGAATGAAAGTCAGTGGGAGGAAGGGATGAGGGACTCACCTATCGGGTCGGTGGATGTGCGGATTGATACCACGTCATTTGCATGGCCTGTAACAAAAATAAATCAAAGTATTAAAAGGGTTGTGGTGCACTGACTTTAGAAATTAGGGGATTTGTATTATTGGACTGCATTTTTCAATAGGAGTTCCTTCTTCTGAAGGCATCTTTAAAATCAACCATCTGCATTGGAAAACTGATGACCCATTCTTTATTTCTAAACTGAACAGACAGATGAGCATCTGATTGCAAACTGTTATCTCCAAATATGTGCAAATATGTATGTGTGTACTAAGTATAGGATTCATTGCAACAAAGGGGCCATTCCAAGATGATTAACCTTCTACTTGCTGATCCGTAAACGTTGCTTGCGCAAATTTTCGAATGCTAGAAAGAAAGAAGACGGGGCAAAAATGTGTCAAAAATGTATTTAAGCAGGAGTTGATTTTGCGAACTTGCTGTTGTCTCCATCTTTGTCTGCGTGAGATTTTCAAGAGAAATTACATGCACAACGTTTCGTTGTATAGTTCAGACCTTGTCTGGTGGCCTCTTAGAGGGTAGATATATGTAGAAACCAAGAGACAATCGGCTCCGTTCCGGATTTCTAGAGATGTAAAAGACAAAGAAGAAACCAGCGGGCTGATTATTGAAATGGATAGACAAAGAAGATATAGGAAATATGGGGCGATCCTATTGGTTGAAACGAGTAATCGCGAAACTATAACGGCATCCCACGAGGGACCCGCGGGCCCTATACCGTTGCTCCTCTGACGTTAGGGGGGAACCCAATTCTTACGTGAGCCCTGTTTTACATATAGATCCATGACTTCTGGGGCTCATGCGATAATCAAGATACGCCCTTGCGTCAGAGGAGCGGCGATACTTGGTCCACAATGCTGCCGTGCAACGCAAAAACGCCGTAAACGCCATTTTAATTTGGTTGGAAACAATCTATCATAGCAGAAGAACGCGTGTACATTGGGTCAATGTTTTTACTCATTCTTTCGCAAATACTATCAAGAACTTAATCTGAAAATTTGAGATGCATGGGTAAAACAGGTTTTATTTCATGCAGTGTTAAGTTCCAAAATATGCGGGAAAATCTTGATGGATTACGCCGTTCTTGCTTAGCACGGCAGAATGTTCCTCCTTTATCTTTGAAAAGCAACCGTTTCCACCAATAGGATCCGGCCGTATCCCTTTTTCTTCCGAGTCTGCAGCTTTGTCAATCAAATTTAATAATCAATCCGCAGCCCACTTAAAGTTACATCGACTCTTGAGGAGAATCTGACTCGCCAACTAACGAGTCAACTCCTCTTCTCCCAAAATACTTACCTCGTTCCTACGGAATGAAGCCCATTGAAGATCAAAACCAAGCTAAAAGATTTCCGCCTTTGATTACGATTCCTTTCTCCGAATTCCGTCCGGAAAGTTTTCGAGTGGTAGGTTTTGTCGCTTCCATCCCTCTACACACTCCCCCGAACTACACGGCTGAAATGCGGAAAATGTGTGCGAGAGGCTCGAAAAATAAAATAGGTACAGGGACCGATGGAGGGACGGCGAAGCCTAGGGAGGGGAGAAAATAAATACTTGTTCTCGGAGGCTTGATTTCATACCTTTCAACCCCTCATTTTCAATCATTCACCCCCGATTGAGTGACGATCGAGGCCCAACTTATCCGGGGTTTATCTGTTCCCGGGGGCGGATCGTCCCCTTTCGGGGACTTATCTCAACGCCCCTGTCACACGTTACGAATCCGGCGGGTCGCTTTGGGGGAGTTTCCACCTGCACATACTCACGGTGAAATGAGGAAAACACGTACCTCAACTGCCATGTTTCGACATTTTTGTGCCAACTTTATTGTGTAACAATATTAGGTAGTCAGTTGCGCTAGACACAGAATCGTATTTTCATGCTCGATACTTGTAGACCAGCTAATAATACGATCTGTCCAAACAGAGCTTTCTACGTTCAATATTATCCGAGAAATCGCACTTTGAAAAATTCGCTTAATAGGAAGTTATCAACCGCGGAAGTGACACCCTTGGTTTCTTTCACCTTGCTTTCATCCGAGTTTCGCGTTGAGCATAACCAGTGTAAGTACAGTAGCTATCACACGTACAGTCCGACCGCACAGTCAATGACATTCTCTGCGCATGCGCACACTGTCAACTGTACTGCCTTGCTAAGGAAGAATGCCGTATGAACATTCGAGAGTTGCCAAATTTCCCTTAATAAAATGTTAATTTTTGAGGAAAGTTATGAATATTTTTCTTCTAAATTTTCAGGAACTTCAGGTGATATTGCAAACAACATTATCTAAAAAATTGGAGGAAAAATATTTATATGTTTACCAGAAAATTCGTGTTTTGAAAAGGGAAATCTAGCAACGCCTGAAGGTTCATACGGTGTTTTTCCTTAGCACGGCAGTGTACGGCCGGGGGCTGTACGTGTGATAGCTGCTAAAATGTGTGTCTCCCTGACAAGTGAAAGCACGGTGAAAGAAACCAGGGGTGGCACTACTGCGTTGGAAAGCGGTGGATGACGTCATTAAACGAATTTTTCAAAGCGCAATATTTTTTTATTAATATCGCACGTAGAAAATTAGTGTTTGGACGGATCTTATTTTTAACTGATCTATAAGAATCAAGCATTAAAATACGATTCAGTGACCAGCGCAACTGACCCATTTACTAAAACAGAATGAATACCAGATTACAAGTTAACACTATATGTAACCGAGAACAACCTCTGTTTAACTCATGTCAAGTTTTCGTTTGAGCACGGAGAAAAAGATTTCGTGCGTGGGACCCAAGGTTGAGGTCATATGAATCTCTGAAGTTTTCGGATCACGTACCTAAAAACTTGAGGTCAAGCTGCCGAAGTTCGGGTCAGACATCTGAAGTACTTCAATATATACCGAAGGGTTCGGGTCGAACATCTGAAGTATCTGCACCGGTACATACCGAAGTGCTTCGATGTCTGACCCGAACTTCGGCAGCTCGACTTCAAGTTTTCGGATACGTGATCAGAAAACTTCTGAGATCCATAGGACCTCAACTTCGGGTCCCATGCACGAATTTTTTTTCTCCGTGAGAAGCTCCCTATTCGTGTGAACAGACAATTCAGCGAGCGGACTTTTCTGTGCTCAACAAATTTGTGTTGATACATGTCTCTACAGCGAATCCTAATTTTCGGCATAGGTGTTAATTCATATAAATATATATTTATTTTGTGTCATCATCCTGCTCTAGACTGTCAGATTCGTATTGCTGTGAATGTATGCACCGACAAATAAAAATATATTATTAAATACTTTTTAGGAGATATTAATGCTTGAAGATTTGAGACGATGTTGAAGAGCGGAGAGTCTTGGGTTAATGGGATGGCTCACTGGGAAAACACAATAGAATAACAGGAGCTCCGCTCGCGAACTGAGTTAAAATTAAAATTTAAAAACTTGACTCGCGGGCACGTTAAATTTTAAAAGCAGACGTGTTTTATCCGTGCACGGCGGAATTCATGAGCAACTGATCCAGTGGGAGCTTTCCGGTTTACAGAACGGAGCCCTCCGTCGTGGGAATAGGTTTATTTTCGAGCTTGACTTGTTCGATAAACCTAGGATTTAGTTCCACGAGCCGACCACCGAACCAGAAAACTTTAGTTGATCAAGAATTTGGAAAGTTGTGGAAAGATTTTTAGCCGCATGTTGCATCTATTCATAATGATCAATCAATAGGAATTCGTTAGATCTATCAAAATTAGGCTCTACGAACCAAAGAGTTCAATTTGCACGAAACAGAGTTTACTCCCCTCAACCGGAAAGCGTCTGCTCTACTCATCGATACGTCAAACTAAAGGTTCACCATCAATGAGCAGAGAATTTTAAACCGACGAGGTAACAATCACTAGGTAGTTTGTTCGAAATTGCGGATAACGTATCCTAGAGAAGATCAAAGTCGGCAGAAAATCTGCAACCTCCAAAAGTAGGATACCTAACTCCGTGCTTTCACCGTGTATCTACGTACCCGTGGAAGCCAAATCACACAAAAGCACATGTGCAAAGAATTCAGCGAAAAAAAGTAAGGTATGAATATATTTTCCTTTCTTCGCGCTGTTTGAATTTTAGAAAACCAGAAAAACGTTATAGGTATTTTGCAGAAAAATTGCGTAATTAGGAATTTTTTTCTGAGTGTATCATATTTTCACTTTAGGGCGGAGACAAATCAGGAATTTAGCGGGAAATCGAGAGATTGGATAAAACAAAAGCATAGGTTTCATCAGGAGCTCCTTATTTCTGGCAAATAATTAATGAATTGGAAAATGTTACTCTTTTGCAAAACTTCAATGGGTTATTCACTCTAACGTAAGTGTAACGTTCTTCAATTACTTATCTCGAAACAAAGGAAGCCTAAATTTGAAATTCGTATAACATTTGGCAGACTGGTGGCCCACAGCCAGAAAAAGGTAATAAAAGAAAGTGTCACCGTGGGAACAGGAGAAGTAACGGAGCTGGGTAAATACTCTTCCAGGAACGGAAAACAGGGCCTTATCCAGAATTGAAAGGGATTTCCCGCCTAAAGAAAACTTTACGGCGGAAACTCCTGTTGAGTGATAGGGATTACAGAGGGAGGAGAACTGACCTTTTCTGGAGAGGGAATTTCTCTCTGCTCCGACACTGCCCTCTTTTCCTGTGTGGAATGAAAAAGGGAGACAAAAATTTGCCTTCTGCAAGGGAGACTGCAAAAAGCCTTCTCTCTCGTGAAGCACACGACATGGCGGCTGTCTTATGGTCTCAGGTGAAAAAATGCGCGAATTCAATACTTCTTTTGAAGGACTACGCGCAGAGAAATGTGAAAGAATAAGTATAATTTATTTTGATAAACATGGCAGTGGCGAGGCGTGAATTATCCATTATCGATATTTCTCCATTGGAAGCTATGCTAAAGAATCTAGTACTGCTCACTAGCTGACTAGGACGCCCGCAATGGACCACTAGACAAGGTACAAATTTAAGCATTCTGATACATGTTTCTTAACTAAAATTTCAC